TAAAGTATAATATAATGTAATATAATAATATACTATATATTACATTATAATATATTGCAATATATTATAATATTAAATACAATGTGGAATAGTATGTATAATGTAGTATAATAATATTATGTAATGTAAAATATTAATAAAATTTAAACTATATGCTACAGTATATTTATAATATAATTATTATTATTACTATTTTATAAAACATATATAATACAGTATAGTAATATTATATAACTGTATAAAGTATAATATAATATAATATAATATAATATAATAATATTATATACGAAATATTACTTATAATATTAAATATTAATATAAAAAAAAAAATTACATTTGAACCATAAAGTCGCTGTTAGCACGCACACATCCACATTAAATAATTAAGAAACTTTTTTGCCATTTTTCAAAAGAGTTATTAAGTCCCTTGAGAAAGTTTTATTAAGTCCCTTAGTAATGAATAGAATGCAATGTAAGTAAAAAAATTTCTTGACCTTAAAATTCAAGGTCAAGGTCAATTTTCCACACATCTCCGTGGACGAAGGTGTAGAACTTTTTTCCCCACTCTGTACGTGGCGCGCATATTATCCGCGAGGACGTAGGACGTAATTGCCGGTTTATTACCAACGAAACCGCGGGTTTTTGCGAAAATCGAGCTCTGCGTTTTGCGCTGCGGAGGCCAACAGAGTTTTCTCGCGGGGCATTATAATACGCGCGGCAAGCAACAGCAGCACGCAGCAATTACAGGTAACGAGCGAACGGCCGAGTAAATGACACGCGACGAAGAGAAAAGAAAAAAAAAATATTGAACTACGACGGAAAGCTCGCTCGCGATGCAATTTCCTAAAAGCTTCAAATGCATGCGTCGGAGATTTTCCGATTGCAGGAAGCACGTCTCTGTTTTCCTCTACGTTTCCTCGCGATACAGCTATTTTGCGTACCGATTTCTCCTGATTTTATTAACTCTCGATTTTTGCTTCTCTCGTTCTTTTCATTTTCATAGGATGCGTTGATAATTATAAACGAAGAAGAGAACATCGTAAACACAGTCGACAATGTATCTTTCTAGTTCAAGAAGAATGATTGTTTTTTTTTTTTTCTTTTTTGCAAAAGAATAAAGTTAACGCTGCAACTTGAAAAGCCACAACTGGTGTTATCGATCACTAAGCACCAAATATGACACGACACTAATGGAGATACAAAGAAAGATTTATGTCAGTTCTTTTTGTGATTTACTCGTTTGTAATTAAAGATGGAAGACAACTGCATTACTTACGTACCCTCGATAATTAAAGTGTTCTCAGCGAAATTTTTTTATAATCCATGAATAATAATCAAAAATCAATTCATGACACACATGAATGATTTATGTTACGGTCAAGATGACCTTTTGACGGAATTTTTCGACTTATCACTATGTAATTTATCGATACTCCTACGAGTAATCTTGGAACGTGGAAGAAACAAATATATCCAATTAACAATACTTTATATTATTCGCAGTATCATCACGTCGTAAATTGCAATTGAATTAATGCTATCGAGTTTATTACGACGTATTTATTATCGTATCTCGTTCACTTTTTTTTTTATTGGCAGTAAATAATTTTGTTAAGCCAAAGTCACAATATCTTTACGATCGTTCTGAATGTAGTATACAGGGTGAACCACATAGTAACTCGATCATCTTGAATACTTCCATTCTTGAAGAAATAGACTTTGTAACAAAAAGTCGTTCAGCTCAGTCATTTCAAACTCATTTCCATTTTTTTTTGCAATGGAATGATATATCTTTTGCGCCATGAATCAATGCGTCTCGACATTTTTTATATAAAAAGGAGTGTCGATTCACGTATGTCGAGAAAGTGTTAATTTAGGAGATATTTTTACCTTAACCTTGTAAAATCTATCGTACGAAAAACAAGGGATCGCAGGGGCAGCATTCTGTCCTTGTCTTTCACGCGTGGCTTTTATAAAATTAAAGTTGAAATAAGCTAATAGTTTTTCGACATAGATATATGAGCTAATACTTTTTTTTTTTACAGAGAGCATCGAGGTGCATCGATTAATTAAAAAAATAGATATATCATTCCATTTAAAAGGTGACTTTGAAATCTCCGAAAATCTATCTACGAAAAAAAATCATTGTTTCCATATTATATTTACTTTATACTAAATATTTAGTATTATATTCATTTTGTAATTATGCTATTATTGTAACAATTCTTGTCACAAAGTCTTTTCGTATCTTCTGAAATAACGGAAAAAATTTTCTAGTCGATCAAGTCACGTACACTAATGAGCAAAATTGAACACACTTGTAAAATTGTGGCATAAATAAATAATAAAGATATTTAGAATGTTTTGACTTTCCTAAGAGAATTCTGTCACTGTATTATCATCGCTATTCTTGCAGAATACAAACTATCGAAGTCAGGTTACGCCGCAATTAGTTTAAATGGAAGATTATCGATCATTTAAATTGTTACAACATCGCAAGAAGAAATCGTATAACAATATGCTTGATCCCATTTTGAAACAATATATTTTGAATTTTTTTTCCAGGATATTTTAACATCATGTAGCAAATGGAAAAGTGTCCTTTTCTTGGTAAAAATGGTAAAAATTCAAACGTATGTAAAGAAAACTGAGAAATTTTGTTCGCGACTAAATCCATCGCGGTCCTGAAGACCTAACTGAAGTTTCAACGACCCCTTAAAACTCGCTGTAAGATTTATTTTTCGCTAATTCATACAGCTTTGAACATTTAGAATTAAATAACAAAAGTTCAAGAAATCCCAACATTTCGTCATTTCACCCTGACGTTCAAGATTCAATAAAATGGGAAAAGGAAAACAAGGTTCAAGCAGTCGTTGCAAAGAGAAAATTTCAATCTTTAAGACCGCGATGGATCAAACCGTGAAAAAAATTTTTATAATATCTTCAGAAATGTCTAAATCTTTACAGTTTTCGAGGACAAACGTGCTCTTGCTTTTAGTAACGCTTTGGGGAAAAACTTTGATTCTGGGTCAAAATAGAAGCTTTCCAGTGTTTTAAAATGAAAGAAGATTGTCGTGTAATCTTCTCTCATGATGTTGTAACAGCTTAAAGTATGCATTCAATTATGCTTTTCACTATTACAGCCTCTTTAAGAACCATTACAGCCTCTTTAAGGGTTACCCAACAAAATATTAATTATCGTTTACATAAAAAATTTTCAAGTTCAAATATTATAGTTCTTCAAATGTCCGAATATTTTTGCTACGCTACATTTCGACGTAATTCAGTTTATTGTTTGATATTAGAAAAAGCATGTGCAATAAATAAATGAAACTTACGCTACTATAAACTATAACGAATGTACCGGTATATATTATTGAAAAAATTAATTCAAACTTGCTATTATAAACAATCGAAAAGTCCATAACAATAATTTAAACAGCATGATGTCCGAATATTAACACTAGAATTACCGACGACCAAAGCATAAAATTTGCCATCAGAGGCATTAAAATAATCGAAAAAAGAAATCTTTATAGTACGTCAGATGTACGCAAGTTTTTATTTGTGTATTTTACAAAATATCATTCAAGTCTTCAAAAATATACGATTTCATATCTATAAAATATATAACAAAAATATTCAAATGGTCATTTTGACCATTTTGATAGTTCTACTGTTGACAAGAGTCACTGTACCTACGTTTCCCATTTTTGTGTTGAAAATTTTCCAGGCGCTGCACGCGCACATTTACAAGGAATGTTAATCAAACACGCCTAGTTAAACTCACGACAATTTTCTTATTACGCGTAATAAGAAGATTCTTTGTCACACTGTTGCATCGCTGGGAGAAACCGATGCCAGATAACGCGATTTGCACGAACGGAACGTTCGCAGCGTGTTCGCAGAGCGTCGGAGTGTCATAATCGCTCGCGCGATTTCCTCAGGACAACATGGGAGGCCGTTTAACGAGCAATCGGCATCGAGCACAATAACAACGCGGAGGGAAATGCTCTCCGGGGTGACAAAGAAGAGATAATGATCAGCGCCGCGTTCCCACAATGACTAACGCGATTATAGGATTGTGCAACGGTTTTATTAGTTTTGACGTGCCGCAACACACGTACGAAACGTATTCATTAAATGTCAGCGATTGCGCGCGGACGCGCGAAGAAATTGATTTAACATTCCCGTTGAACGATAGCGCATTAAATCAATTCGATTTATCGCCGATTATTCGGATTCGGTTTCGGTCGGCATGCAAATGCACGGATACTCGATTCGCAAGTAAAAGATCAACGTGGCTCGCGCCTCGGTAGACCAACTAGCTTTTGATTTACTAGCGCGCGAACACAAAGCCACGTCCACGACGTAGGAAATATCTGCACGTCTGGATATTGGTATGAATATTTATGTTCTTTTTCTTTTTTTTTTTTTCTTTTTTTCTCTTTTCTTTTCAAGTAAATTACCCGTCAACCGGACGAAATAATGTCCGGACCGGATGGAACTCGACTTCGCGGCGCGATAATCGTTTATCGTCGAATGTAAATCGAGAGATCGGCAAACGAAGATAAATCGAGGGAATGCAGGGAAGCAGCTACACTAAAATAGCGCAGAGGTACGTGTATGAATAGATCTTGCCAATCACAATTGAAGACTCTCGAGATCTTATTGCACCATTTTTCATTAAATTATGATCAAATTAATTTATTCTCATGATCAATTTCAATTACTGTGACTTTATTAATTTTATCTTTACCAGTTTCAGCAGGAGCTATTGCAACATTATTATTTGATCGTAATTTTAATACATCTTTTTTTAATCCAATAGGAGGAGGAGATCCTATTTTATATCAACATTTATTTTGATTTCTTTGGCCATCCAGAAGTTTATATTTTAATTTTACCAGGATTTGGATTAATCTCACAAATTATTATAAATAAAAGAGGAAAAAAAGAAATTTTTAGAAATTTAAGAATAATTTATGCAATATTAGGAATTGGATTTTTAGGATTTATTGTACGAGCACATCATATATTTACTGTAGGATTAGATATTGATGCACGAGCATATTTTACATCAGCAACAATAATTATTGCAATTCCAACAGGAATTAAAGTTTTTAGATGATTAGCTGTCGTACCGATTCAGGCAGGTTTTGCACCGCAGTGCTACTACCGATGGGAATTAAAATTAAAAGAAATGGACAGTGCTGCCAGATCTGTTTCGAGAATTATTTATATTGAATTGAACGCGGTAATACTTCATCCATTGAAGAAACATGAAAACGATACCTTGTCTGTATAAATGGTATATCGTTCCGAGATATCGAGGCATTGCTTGTAAATGGCGGAATGTCAGAATAAATGAATGAAAATCTTTATTTTTCGACACTTTCTGGCACAGCTTTCTCTCGTGTCTGTTAGAAATCGTTGGCGGCTAGATTCTGTGAAACTCGCGATCTTTCGGATTCTTCGGAGACACTGAGCAGTCAAAAACAACTCCTCTGTCACCAGAAGGTCTTTGGCCATATTTTCCTTTTACTATAATTACATTTTTCTGAACGTTTACCGAGACTTCCCAAGTTTATTGGGGGCCATAAACCACGGGAATGGTATTATCACTATCGCTTAACCAAATCATCAGACAACAGAGTGGGACTTAACTTCTCACTCGTATGTACCGGTATTTATCCGCGTCGTAATTTATGACAAAAGTTATCTCGTTCTGCTTCATTTCATTTTACTCTATCTCTATTTTCTTAAAAAAAAGAAAAAAAAAAAATAACACCAGAGATCCTTCCTGCGATCGTACACCGAGAGATTAGACGCACGTCGAATACCTTCAGCGGAAAAATTAACCGCTTGCGCCTGGCAGCTGATTGCGGACCATAACGAGTGACCGAACCGTATATACAATAATTCGTCGCTTTTCTTTTCTTTTGAAGTGCTCGTCGGTACGAATAGGATAGAGATTATTAAGATACAACGAACTTCATCGTTCGTTCTGCCTGGGTCACATTTCTCTAAACATACTTGAAACTGAGGAAATGTTGCAAAAAAATTCTCTCGTCATTCCAGCGCAAGAGGTTGAAACGTAGAGGCGCGCGAGCCGTCGGAACCGGAGAGGATACAATTCTAACGTGCGCGTGCACACGCGCGTACGATTTCGTTATCTGCGTCCGGCCCGTCGAATATCCGGAGAACGTCACCCACCTCGAAGGGATATTTATCGCGCGCGAAGGGGAGTGGAGGCGGAGGCGCTGGAAGCGTGAAGGTGAACGACGACGACGTATGCATGTATGTATGTATGTATGTATTTATGTATGTACGTGTCGGGAGCGCGAAGAAGACAGCTGCGTGGCGGTTGCGGTTGTGGAGAGGTTAAAAGCGGTTGTAGCATAATTGTACTCGTGCTATGAAGCGCAGTCCAGGGGTGAGATGCAACATATTGCCCCGTAGCCGGCTCTTATCGACTGGGGGCAGACAGGCGGGCTGGTAGGAAGGCTGGCTGGCTGGCTGGCTGGATGGCCGGCAGATTTACGAGGACCGCTCGGATAGCGAATGATAAACGCGAGTCGAGATAGCTTTATTTATTCGCGCCGTGCCTACCGCGCGTCCCTTCGCCTCTCTCTCTCTCTCTCTCTCTCTCTCTCTCTCTCTCTCGCTGCCCCGTTCTCGTCTCTTCTCGTTTCACCGCTTCCCTGCGCAAAGATTGTCAGCGGCGGTCGTGTCCCTGCGCCACGGGATCCCCCGGCTAGGTCAAGATGCCCCTTTTTGACATAACGACTTTGTTCTACACGCGTCGCCGGCCGACCGTGCAACGTCCAACGTTGGTGATTTAATCCCGGATCCCCTACGAGCGCGAAGACGCGCGTGTTTTGACGTACGCGTCGAGGGGTTTCCCGATTGGTGTTTTTCTGTGCGCGGCTTTCAATTTCAAGTCGCGTTCCTGACTCATTGTCAGTTCGACGTGTGCCTTCTTTGTACTTTGACGAGTAAAAAACAAAAAAAATTCGTTCCAAACGCGTGAAAATTGTTCACAATTTTCTGCGTATGAAAAGAAAAAGCTTCCAATTAAGAAATTATTTTGTCAACGCTATAACGATCGACGAGATCGTTAGATAACCTTCT